TAAGACTGAAAATTGTTAAGGCCCTTGATTCTCACTCTCAAGGAGAGAATAATGAACTTGGATAATAAAAGGAACTAATTTAAAGAATTTGATTCTGGGGAGGCAGTGAGGGGGATGAGCACAATTGTCCCAGCATCAGTGGCAGCTAGGAGAACACTATTCACAATAATAGAAGCATAGAGGAGCTGAAGAAATGGCTGGTCTTAGTCTGTCTCCTTGCCAGGTGAGACCGTTCCCTACTATACCACCACCCTTTTCTATGGCTGTATTCAGTCTATTTCAAAACTACTCTGATGGGGCTTTTGTTGCCTTTTATTTGGGGATTCATCCACTTTTTGAGCCATATATACTGGCAAAAGATTTCCCTGGTATGGCAATCTTTTATACAGAAGTGTTATTACTGGTTTAGTTTATTTTGCTTGCTTCAATGGTACAAGTTGCAGTAGCAAACCAATGTACCTGTACCAAAAGGATTTGTTGACATAGTTTACACTAGAGAAGGTTTGCTGCTAAAGCTAGGTTTTAGAGAGTTCAGTTTCATTAGTCAGCAGTATATTCCTCCCCACCCCCAACCTTCAGTATACATCAGTCTCCCAGGAACTTACTTACTATCTACCTTCAGGCAGTCTTCTGTTGGCACCACCTGTTTGATAGTTCATAAACAGTAATCATCTGATTATTGGGAAGCAATTCTGGAATCCTAAGTATTGTTTAATTTCATCTGAGAGTCATTTATTTTTGTGCCATGATAAAGAATTAAAATCTTTGTTCTTTAGAGATGCCCACAAATGCTTTGGTATAGGATGTGTGATACAGCCTTTTCTGCTGCTTGGCACGTAATGATTGGTTCCTAAAAATGGCTCCGTTGTGCCTCCAGTGACTCGCATCTGTGGATTCTTGTTCTCTGGAATTTGCAAAGCGTTACCTGCTGTAGAGACCTACATCTATGACTGGGACTGCACTAGTGTTTGTTAATCACATATGAATGTAAGGATTCCTATGAGTGACTAGCCCTTGCCCTAGATGAGACTTATTTCTCTCATTTGCCTCGTGAATCTGTTCAGTGAGGGTGTGTATTTATAACTGCACATAGTTGGAAAGTGAGTGGGCTTTTAAATAATTTCTCATAATGTTTTTTCTATCACTTATAAAACTTTATTAATTCTTTACTATAAGTACTTAAGGATATGAATTTGTATCTAAAAGTATTGGGGTGATAAATCCTTTTAAGAAAAAAAATTCCAGGCTCTTCTAACAAATTGCCTAGAATAGATGCAGTAATACACTAATCCTCCTTCTCAGACACTTCATGTATTGTACCACATTTTTTGTAATGGGATTTTTAAGAGTCTTTTAGTTTAGTTTAAGAAA